CGGCCTTCGGCCGCGCTTTAGGGGTGACAAGGGGGTTTGAGACAAGAATTATAATAGCATGGGGTACAACATGGCCCTATAGTGCATCACTCTACGCACAACAACACCCCCAGGCGTGGGAGACCGCCATGGGGAAGCCCAAGGCCCGGCCTAGCACCAAGGAGGCGGGCAAAGGGAGGCCCTCTACTCGGAGAGGATCCAGCATAGCCTCCCGTCCATCCAGCGCAGGACGGATGCGGCTGCTGGTACAAGGCCAAGTGGGGGGCCCCGCGCGGAGTCAACAAGACGCATCAACGCGCGGGGGCCGGGGCCGAGCGCGGCTCCAGGGGCAGCAGGTACAAGACCGATGAAGGGGAGGTAATGTTGCAACTCCGTCGCTGCCGCCACAGCCGCCGCTTGCTCCGTCTGCAGCATCCCCTCGACCACGACGCCCTGACGCGCCAAGCACACGTGGAGCTGGTCAAGCACATAAGACAGAAGCGTCAAGCACGTCCCCATGTGCATTACGCGCTGCTCGACGTGGGGAGGCAAGGGAGCCGCAGGAGCAGCAACAGGAGGGACGGGAGGAAACGGCAGCCCGGGGGGCGCTGGCGGCTGACGCACTGGAGGCTGGGGGAGAGGAAACGGGTTCGGCCGCGGCTGTGGTGGCTGCTGAACCCGGCTCAGCGGGGGCTGCTGCACCCGGCTCAGCGGGGGCTGCTGACGCCGCTGAGTCTGGCTTGGCGGCGGCGGCTGCTGCTGCTGAGGTCGGATCGGCGGTGGCCGCTGATGCTGCTGAGCCTGGTTCGGCGGTGGCTGCTGATGGGAATGAGCCTGCCGCGGCGCGACAGACGGAGCCTGCTCGCGGGCCTGCCGCCGCCTCTGACGGCGGCTTAACTTCACCCTCTCCGGTGTGGCTGGCGGAGCCGCCGCATTTGGCGGAGGAGCCTCGGGCTGTTGAACCCCCGACGGCGGTGCCTGCAGTGGCCCCGGCCCCAGTAGAGGCAGCGGAGATTGCTGGCGTCGAGGCGGAGATGGAGTGTCCCGCCTGAGGGTACTGTGTCTGGGGGTGCTGAGCCTGTGTGTGCGGAGTCTGGGGGTGCTGAGTCTGGAGGTGAGACGCTTGAGGGTACTGGGACTGCTGGTGCGCGGCCTACTTGGAGTGGCCGCCTTCGTCCGCGTGTGCCTCTCACCCCACAGCAGCTGCACGACTGGTACGGTCGCCGTCAGGGTCGCGCTGCTGGAGCCCGGGGCTCTGCGCCTGGAGGTACTTCTGCTGACGTTTCTGGAGCTCGGAGTGGTGCAGGTACTTCGTCTACTAAAGGTGCTGGAGTCGCTGGTCCCGGAGGTGCTCGTACTGGAGGTATTGCAGCTGCTGGGGCTGGGGGTGCTGCGTCTGGGGGTGCCGCTACTGGAGACGCTGACGCTGGAGACCCTGGGACTGGAGGTGCTGGTTCTGGGGGTGCTGCTGCGGTCGACTCTGCGGTTGGAGACCCTGGGGCTGGAGGTGCCGGTTCTAGGGGTGCTGCTGCTGGTGACGCTGGTTCTGGTGGTGCTGGCACTGGAGGTACCGGTTCTGAGGCTGGAGCTTCTGGAGCTGCTGGAGGTGCTGGAGCGGCTGGAGGCACTGGAGCTGCTGGAGGTGCTGGAGCTGCTAGAACTGCTGGTGCTGGTACAGCTGTGCCGACACGACTCTTCTTCGCTCCGCCGTCTCCGTCGTCTCTGCCGCCGCCTGACTCTGCTCTTCGTCAGGTTGTTACTCTCCCGTCGTCTACTGGTCTTCTGTTACTGCTTGGCTCACCGCTGCCTGGTCCTTCCATTACAGCAGATAGGTAGTCTTGCTGAGCGTCGTGAGCCTGCGCCGCGTCCTGTCTCGCCTGTTCGTTCTGGTCGTACCAGTCGTCGTGTTGCTCGTCCGCGTCAGCCGGCTGTCCCCAGCGCACACCTTGTTGTCCGTCGTCCTTCCTCTGCTTCGCAGCCTGTTCCTCTGCCGTCTCCCCCTACGTCCTCTCTGCCTGACGTTCCAGACCCTGAGTCTGACCAGTTTCGTGCTGAGCACCCTACTGTCACGCGTCTGTTAGCCACTGTTGTCACTGACCCGTCGTTTGAGTCTACTGCTGCGTCTGCCTTGGTTGCTGAGCTTGTTGACTTTGCTGCTGCCTGTCGCCTAGACTACGCTGCTAGCCTTGTTGCTGAGTATGAGTCTGTCTGTCCTCCGTCCGTCGGGGGTGAGTGTGCTCTTAGCACGGACGTCCTTGAGGACAGGCAAGAGGAGTTCCAGTGTCTTGCTGCTGCTTTACCTCATCTTGTGGCCATGCTGCTTGCCCCTGAGGGAGACCCGGATGCACTAGACATCCCGACTCCGCGCTCTTACGCAGAGGCGATAGAGGGTCCCTACTCCTCTCAGTGCCATTCAGCCATGGACGCAGAGATGGCTTCCTGGAAGTCCACAGGCACCTACGTTGACGAGGTTCCCCCACCTGGGGCGAACATCGTCAGTGGCATGTGGATTTTCAGGGTGAAGCGGCTGCCGGGTTCTCCGCCTGTCTTCAAGGCGCGTTACGTGGCTCGAGGCTTCAGTCAGCGCCAGGGAGTTGACTACTTTCAGACCTTCTCTCCCACCCCGAAGATGACCATTCTTCGGGTGCTGCTGCACATAGCCGCTCACCGTGACTACGAGCTTCACTCTCTTGACTTCAGCACAGCTTTCCTACAGGGGTGCCTGCACGAGGAGATCTGGTTGTGCCGCCCACCTGGCTTCACTGGGTCTTTTCCTCGTTGTACCCAGTGGAGCCTCCGGCGGCCAGTCTACGGTCTCCGCCAGGTGCCTCGTGAGTGGCACGACACACTGAGGGCTACACTTGCGGCTCTTGGGTTTGCTCCTTCCACTGCTGACCCGTCGTTGTTTCTACGCACCGACACCACTTTGCCGCCTTTCTACATCCTCGTGTACGTCGACAACTTGGTCTTTGCTACTGCTGACACTGCTGGACTAGCCCACGTGAAGTCTGAGCTGCAGAAGAGACACACGTGCACAGACCTGGGTGAACTACGCAGCTACCTTGGCTTGCAGATCACTCGGGACAGAGCACGGCGCACCATTACTCTGACTCAGTCACACATGGTGCAGCAGATCCTTCAGCACTTCGACTTCACGTACTCCTCGCCTCAGGCCACTCCTCTGTCTACTCGCCACTCGCTCTCAGCTCTGCCTTCGGATGAGCCCGTAGAGCCGAGTGGCCCGTACTCAGAGCTAGTTGGCTGCCTCATGTACCTGATGACCTGCACACGACCTGACCTTGCATACCCTCTTAGCATCTTGGCACGCTATGTTGCTCCTGGGAGACACAGACCAGAGCACATGGCTGCAGCGAAGAGGGTGTTGCACTACTTGTGCAGTACGTCGGGCATGGGGCTAGTGCTTGGAGGGCAGAGTCCAGTGGTCCTCACTGGTCACGCAGACGCGTCTTGGGTTGACGACCTGGCTACACAGCGGTCGTCACAGGGTTACACCTTCAGCCTTGGCTCCGGCTCTGTTTCGTGGCGGTCTACCCGCTCGTCCTCTGTTCTCAGCTCCAGCTGTGAGGCTGAGATCTACGCAGGAGCCATGGCTGCACAGGAGTTACGCTGGCTGACCTACCTGCTGACTGACCTAGGAGAGCCGCCTCGTTCTCCTCCAGTTCTGTACGTAGACAACAAGGTCATGCTGGCCTTGTGTCGGGAGCACAGACTGGAGCACAGAACGAAGCACATTGCTCTTCGCTACTTCCTTGCTCGTGAGCTGCAGCAGCGTGGTCAGCTGCGCCTTGCTTACGTGGCCTCTCGGGCCAACACTGCTGATATCTTCACCAAGGCTCTTCAGCCTTGTGATCATCAGCGCTTTTGTACGATGCTAGGTCTTGTGCCTACTTGGCCTCACTTGCTCACTTCTTGACCTTGCTTGTACTGTGACTATATACCTACTCTTGTTTGTTTACCTTTATATATCATCCTGCATGTGAACTGGCCTTGTGGCCTTTAACTGGTGCTCGGAATGTGTGGTGACGTTGTGATCCACCCTGAGCTTGCTTTGCTTTGCTTTGCTTGACTGGTCTTGTGACCCCTTATTCTCCCCCACTTTGCCTATGGGGGTGTGTCAAACATTTATCATTTAGCCTATTTAGGCTGTAGTGGGGTAGACACCAAGGGGTACAGATTCTTAGGGTTTCATACTTGTACCCAGCTCATTTTCCTAGTCATCATTCCAAATGGTGGCTATTACAAATGGTGGCTCTTATAATACGTAAGCCTTCAGGGGGTGCGCTTATAATCGAGCACCGGATATAAGCGCCACACGCCAATTAAAAGCGCCAGGCGCTTATCCGAGGGTGGCGCTTACCGTAATACCCCGGATATAAGACCCGGGAGTATTATAATATCGCACCCCTAATCTGGGGGGGGGGGGGTCTACACAGTTGGGAACAATTTATAAGACCCGGGTCTTATCATAATGTCTGTTAAATTACTTGTGTTTTGAACGCCAAACATGGGAATACAAGGTGCTCCGTTTATATCATCCAAGAAAAATACACGAAAGAAGCTCCACGACCGTCAATGCCACGTCACCCAGCAAGCATTATGTGTGCCTTCTCCCATTGGCCCTAAAACAATGTTACCACATCTCAATCTTGCCAGACGCAGTGCACAGATGCCTTGCTAGACTCGTCCTTCACAATTCATGCAGGCTTCGAGCCTCAAACCCTAGCACGTCCTCCTCCCAAGGTTGTGTTTCACCACACGCTCATCCATACCCCTTCGTGAGGCACGATGCCTTGCCGTGCTCGGCTGGCTCACATGGCGGGTATAACTTGGTGAGAGTTAGAGCTTAGGACAGGTTAGACATTAGCGTTCCACCATGGTACCCTCACCCGATACTGAGACGACGGCTCGTCGACGCCGCCGCCGTGTCGAACGCGATGATCCTGTGCCTAGGCCATCGCCTAGGCCCGTCATGCCAACGCCTTCTGCATCTTTTGGCGACGATGGCCCACCCCGTCCGTTGCCGCAGGTCAAGATTCCAGTGCTTCCGCAAGCCAGCAGACCCCAGGGGCAGAAGAGGCGGCTACCAGATGCAGAGCCACCGTCGCCTCGACGCAAAGTAACAACGAAGTCGCGGCGCGCCTTCATAGCTAAGGAGAAGTTGTACTGGCTGGCGATGCTAGACGCCCAGCCTGATTTGGCCATACGGGCATTGGCGAGGCTCGCAAAAGTGCAGCCGAAGCAAATCCGCGAATGGATCAGCCTCAAAGCGCTCCTTGAAAAGGCGGCTGGGTGTCGCCAACGCCTCAGTGGTGCAGGGCGAAAGCCCAAGTGGCCGTTCATGGAGAAAGCGGTCTACCGAAAGTTCCTTTCCCATCGCGGGAAAGGACTTCCGGTCTCCATCTCGCTGCTGCAGAAGTGGGCGACGTGCTACATGAAGAATCGCCACCCTGGAGAGAAATGGCGCTCTTCCCAGCGCTAGACTAAGAGGTTTCGCAAGCGCTGGTCCTTGGCGAGGCGCGTGAAGACGAAGATCGGCCAAAAGCTTGCTGCAGGTAAGGAGTCTTTCGCACCCCGCACGCTGTCCAGTGTTCTATCGCAGCCACTGACGACGAACTTAACTGATGTGCCGCAGATTGCAAGAAGAAGTGCAAAGCATTTTGGGAATTCGTGCGGCAGATGCGCGTGCTCGACTCCTACCCCCCGAATCTCATAGTGAACGCAGATCAAACTCCTCTGTTCCTCGAGATGCCTGCCGAGCGCACCCTCGAGATGACAGGAGCGCATACCGTGCATGTGCACACCGCGAGCTACGAAAAGGAGCGCCTCACCGTCATGCTGGTGGTGACAGCGGGCGGATTGAAGCTCCCTCCCTTCGTCGTCTTCAAACGGAAGACGCTGCCGCAAATCCCCGTGCCCCGAGGTGAGATGCTTGTGTGGCTTCAATACGGATGCTTGTTAAAGAGAAACAACCGCTAATGATTCTTTTGTTTTCGTGCAGGCGTTGTCATCTGCGCCCAGCAAAAGGGCTGGATGGACGAGGACCTGGTCCAGGAGTGGACAACACAGGTTCTCGTGCCATTCCTGAAGCCGTTGCGCGAGGAGGGAGGACGGCGCAAGGATGCGCTCCTCGTCCTCGACTCGTACCGAGGCCACACCACTGAGGCGGTCGGCCAAACGATGAAGCTCTTCAAGCTGACGCCTGCGGTGATCCCTGGCGGCTGCACCTCACTTCTGCAGCCGTTGGACGTTTCGATGAACCGCGCTTTCAAAGCCGGCATGCGCCACCGCTACTCCACGTGGTTCGAGGAAGAAGGGATTGGATACACCACCCCGGCAGGTGAGTTTATGGCTTGACTTTGGTGTGCACCTGTACCTTTGCTTGACATCTTCCACCGTGGACTGAATGTGGCCCCCACCCGTGCCTGAATTCACAGAGAATCTGAAAAAGCCCCCAGCGGAGAAGGTGCTCCGCTGGAATGCTGATTCCTGGGCCGACGTCCCAGATGAGCTTGTGCGAAAGGCCTTCATCACCTGCGGCATCTCCATCGTCGTTGACGGGAGCGAGGATCACCTGATCCACGCTCACCTGCGAGACGCGGCGGAGGTGGAGGTGCTGGAGGATGTGTGCGAGGAGGAGCTGGACGAGCTCATCCCCAACCCCTTCTACCCTGACCCTGCTGCCGCTGCTGAGAAAGACGGCGCTGCTGCCGTGGCAGAAGCTGGAGAGGGAGGGTGGACGGGTGAGGACTCTGAGGAGGATGCCGACTACGAGGTCGATGAGGAGGAGATTGAGGATTCCTCGGACGATGAGGAGAGTGAGAAGTCCTCGGACAATGAGGAGAGTGAGGAGGAGGGTGAGGCTGAGGAGGTGGGAGTTGGACAGGAATGGGATGATGATGACGAGTGGTGGGCAGAAGGGCGATATGACGGGGAGGAGGCGGATGTATGGGTTGCTGGGCAGGACGATGAGTAGATGTGCGAGGGTTTTTGTGCATGTTTAGTGTAGTTAATGAACATTTTGTGGGTTTTTCTCAGAATGTGGCTACAGCGGAATGAGTTGCATTAGACAGATTGGGGTACATATTCAAACCCTAACTGTTTGTACCCCCTATTGCACAACCCACTAATGGCTAGAACATTTGACACACCCCCATAGCCTAAGTGGGGAGTGCAAAGTAACAACAAACAACCTAAGGTCACAAGACCAGTCATAAACAAGACACAAAACAAAGCTCAGGGTGGATCACAACGTCACCACACAGTCTGAGCGCAAACAGCGGCCACAAGGCCAGTTCAAGAGTGTATATGCAAATATATCTAGTGCAAGCAAAGACAAGAGACAAGCACTCACTACTGCAGTCTACTCGACCCAGTCTCAACGAGGCCCAACTGCAGACAGAACCGGCGGTGGTCACAAGGCTGAAGAGCCTTGGTGAAAATGTCTGCAGTGTTGGCCTCGGAGGCCACGAAGTCCAGACGAGCCTGCCCGCGTCTCTGCAACTCTCGAAGGAGGAAGTACCTGCTTCACTCTGCTCTCCAGTCGAGGCTCACGACACAGGAGAATCATCGCCCTGTTGTCAGCAAACAGGGTCGGTGCAGAGCTCGGCCGCTCACCAAGGTCAGCGAGCAAGAAGGTCAACCAGCGTAGCTCCTGAGCAGCAAGGGCCCCAGCGTAGATCTCGGCCTCTGCGGTAGAAGTCGCAACCGAGGAGGACCGAGTAGACCTCCACGAAACAGCTCCAGAACCCAGGCTGAAACAGTAACCCTGCGTAGACCTCTGAGTCTCAACGTCGTCGGCGTAGGAGGAGTCGCAGTGACCGGTGAGTACAACTGGCTGTGTCCCTCCAAGTACAAGCCCCATGCCTGATGTCGCGCCAAGGTACTTCGCCACCCTCTTAGCCGCCGCCCAGTGAACAGGACGGTGTCTCCCAGTCGCAAAAAAGCGAGACAGGATGCTAAGAGGGAAGGCGAGGTCCGGGCGAGTGCACGTCATCAGGTACATGAGGCAGCCCACCAGCTCTGCGTAGGGACCACTGGGCTCGAACGGCTCGTCAGGAAAAGGCCCAGTGAGTCTGTGGTCTACAGCAAGAGGGGTGGGTGCAGGAGAAGAGTCCTGAAGCCCGAACCGCTGAAGGACCTGGTGCACCATGTGTGACTGAGTCAGAGTGATGGTGCGAGCGGCTCTGTCCCTGGAGATCTGCAGGCCAAGGTAGCGGCGCAGTTCCCCAAGGTCAGTGCAGGTGTGTCTCTTCTGCAGTTCAGACTTCACCTCCGCCAGTGCAGCTGTGTCGGCTGTGGCAAAAACCAAGTCGTCAACGTAGACCAGAACGAAGAAAGGTGTGCGCCCACGACGAACAAACAGCGACGGGTCGGCGGAAGACGGCTCAAACCCGAGGTCGGAGAGAGTAGAGCGGAGAGTGTCGTGCCACTCACGGGGTGCCTGGCGGAGACCGTAGACCGGTCGTCTGAGGCTCCACTGGGTCCCAGGCGGGAAAGTGCCAGTGAAGCCCGGAGGACGACGCAGCCAGATCTCCTCGTGTAGGCGGCCCTGGAGGAAGGCAGTGGAGAAGTCAAGAGAGTGAAGCTCGTAGTCTCTCTGCGCTGCTACGTGCAGTAACACCCGAAGAGTGGTCATCTTCGGGGTGGGCGCGAAGGTCTGAAAGAAGTCAACTCCCTCACGCTGACTGAACCCTCTAGCCACGTAGCGTGCCTTGAAGACTGGGGGAGATCCCGGCGGCCGCTTCACCTTGAAGATCCACATGCCATCAACGATGTTCGCCCCTGGGGGGGGAACCTCGTCAACGTAAGTGCCTGTGGACCTGTAGGAGGCCATCTCTGCGTCCATGGCAGCTCTCCGAAGTGGCCGGTAAAGGAAGCGCTGACGGCTGCTGCGGAGGCTGTGAGGACGACTGTGGGGAAGGAGGAGAGACCTGGGGGGGTACCGAGGGGGGGGGAGTAGCGTGGGACACACCAGACGGAGCGGGAACAGGGGGGGGTACCGGAGGAGCAGGGGCGGGAGGAGGAGGAGCTGGAGCCAGGAAGAGGGGAGGGGGGGGGAAACCAGGAGACCTCGACAGGGGTACCGGACGTAGTAGGGGACGGACTCGTCAAAACGGACGTCACGAGAGTCAAAGAACCGGTGGGAGGGAGGGTGGTAAAAGGTGAAGTCAGAGGAGTCCTCTTGGAAACGAAAGAAGGCATAGGGGACAGCACGAGGCGAGATCTTGTCCGCAGAGGTGTCGCGGACAAGAGCCAAGCAGCCCCAGACACTAAACCTCGACGCAACACCAGGGGACCCTGTCCAAAGACTGGTCGGTGAAGCCCCTGGCCGAGAGACGCGAGGCCAGAGGTTCAGCTGGTGAGCGGCGTACCGAGCCGCGTAGGGCCACAGAAAATGGGGCGCGCGAGCGTGGATCATGGAGGTGCGGGCGATCTCCATGACCAGGCCTAAGCGGCGCTCAGCAACCCCATTCTGCTGTGGAGAGTCTGGAAGAGTCCAGGACTGGGTGATGCCCTGCTCAGCACAGAATCTAGCGAGAATGCCGGAGCGAAACTCACCCCCACGGTCAGAGTGGAGACAACTGACACGACGACCACGAGTGTCCTCGGTGGCGAGGAGCCACCTGATCAGCGTAGAAGTCACGTCGGACTTCTTCGCCAAAGGGAACACGGTGGTGTACCGAGAGTAGTCGTCAACGACCACCAGAAAGAAACTCTCCCGCTCAGGGCCAAGGCGGGGAGCGGGGCCCCAGACGTCTAAGTGGAGAGTCTGAAAGGGCTCGGTGGTCGGACGAAGGGAGGAGGAGTGAGGGGTGGCACGCAGCCGGCCCTGGACACAAGGACCGCACGGAGGAGCTGGGGACGGCGGGAGTGGCGGGAGGACTCGGGGGAGGCCTAAGACAAGACGCTGACTGGACATAGCGCGGAGACGAGGGAGGGACGGGTGCCCCATCCGGTGGTGCCACAGAACGGTGGGGTGAGCAAGCGACCGGCAGGAGCACGACGCAGCAACTGGACCTGACGTGGGGACCTGACCAGACGCAGCAACTAGACCGGACACAGCAACCTGACTGGACCTGGCGACCTGGTGGGACGGAGGAACCTGACGAGGGTCGGTGTGGAGGGTGTAGAGACCGGAGCCCGGCTCCTGGCGAAAAGTGGCCAAGGGGGCGTACGTGTCACCGTCCACACAGACCGCGGTGTCACCAGAAGGCTCAACCCAGACCCCGACGTGCTGTCTCGCCAGGGGGCCCACACCAACCAGGTTCCTAGAGAACGTAGGAACGTGGAGGCCAGTCAGGGAACCGGAAGGGGCAGCTGGGCACGGGAGAGTAGTGGCGTGAGTGGCAATGACCGGTCCCGAAGTGGGATCGGCCAGTGCTATAGAGACCGGTGCCGGGAGTGGAGAGAGAGTCGTGCGGTCGCGGAAGAAGCACTGAGTCGCTCCTGAGTCCACCGAGGGAGTACCTGTACTAGTAGCTAAACAAGATCCTACACTAGCACCTACTCTAGCAACAGGCAAAGATCCTAAGCTAGGTACAGGCAAGTACATGGATCCAGGAGCACTATAGTCAATATCAGCATACATGGCATAAGACCTAGCATCATCCATAGTCATATCAAAAACAGCAATACCACGAGCAAGAAGCGTCCCCCAGCGTGGTGGCGGGGGAGCGGAGGGGCCGTGGTGCAAGCGGTAGAGGTCGTCGAGACGACTGAAGCAGCGTGCAGCAGAGTGGTCGGGGCGGCCACAGTACGAGTCCCTACGAGGACCCGTAAGGATCCAGTACTCACAGGGACCAACGTCGCGTCCGGTCGAGCGAGGTCCCCGACTGGAGGGGGGGCCACTGCGCCCAGTGCTCGGGGGACCCGCAGACCTCCACTGCTGCTGAGGGCCCCACTGCTGCGGAGGGCCCCACTGCTGAGGCTGCTGCTGTGGTGGGCGCTGCTGCTGGCCCTGTCGCTGCTGCTGCTGTCCCTGCCGCTGCTGCTGTCCAGGCGGTGGCAGCTGCTGAGAAGTCGGCTGCTGCTGCTGCTGCTGGAACCCCTCACCACCAGTGAAAACTCCACCGTCGAGAGAAGGGTCGTCAGGGCCCGAGCCACCCCCACCACCACTACCACCACCTGCCCCACTGCCGCCGCCACTACCCGCACCACCCCCAGTACCCCCGCCGCCCTTCCCGCCCTTCTTGCCGGCCTTGCCACGTTTCTGTCCGCCAGAGACAGAAACAGCCGCCGTCTCCTCACATGCAGAAGATGTGGGGGTGGCAAGTGAGGCAGTGAAGGTGGGAAGCTGCGGTACTGCACACCCCTCAAAATGACGATGAGGAGGCGCGGAAGAGGCAGAGGCAACAGTGAGGAGGTTACTCTCGATCTTCGAGAGAGCGGTCTCAAGAAGATCGATGGTAAGCTCAGTGGGGTGCGTCAGAAGAAGCTCGTCGCGGGCTGTGGCTAGGCGGTCAGGGAGGCGAGTGACTAGCCAGTGAATAGTGAGCCACATAGGGGGCGGGGCAAGGGCAAGCTGGTCCTCAGTGCAAGCAGCGCGAAAGCGAGCGTCAAGGGAGCGCAGGTGGGTAGCTAGGTCAGAGACAGTCTCAAAGGAGGCGAGGTCAGGGTAGATAAAGGGTACGAGGAGGCGACTGAGTGAAGCAGAGGAGGGAGTGGAGTAGCGAGCAACAATGGCCTTATGCAGATCTGCAGCTGCCTCTGTCGGCGGGAGAAGGTCGGTCAGGGCGAGGCAGGCAGCGGCGTCACGAGACTCCCACACGTCACGAGCGAGGAGCTGGCGCTGGTAGTCGGCCTCCTGCTCAGAAGTAGGCGGTGGGGTAGTGGGCAGCGGCCGAGGCTGCAGAGGGGCGGTCAGAGTGCTGGACGCGTGTGCGAACAGGTGCACGCCATCCTGCCGCTGGCTCTTAAGGTGGCGCTGCGCCTGCGTAAGCCACGTACTAAAATCAATCGGTCTCCCCTCAGGGT